CCGCTGACAGTAGCTCACATCGGCCCCTACCGAGCTTCCCGGTAGGTCGGACCTCGGCCAGGTTCACCTCGGCCCTCATACTTAGCATCTGTCAATGCTAGTGGTGGTGATCTCGACAGTCCGAACTGGGCATGACTGATGAGTCATCTTGGAGCACCAATAGGAGTCATCCACGTGTCCAGGGTATTCTCTTCCCCAAACAACATAGACTCTAATATTTAAAGAAAACCTCATAATCACCCCAAGACCAAAAATATCAAAATCCATAAATTGCCATCAATAGTTGTGCAAAATTGGAAGAATAAATCAAGTAAATAAGCTAATAGTGACACAATAAACAAAAAGAGCATAGAAATCTTGGAATAAATCAATACATAAATAGACTCCAAAATTTAATAAATTAATTGGCCATAATTAAAAAGGATAAAAGTTAATGTGGCTGCCTTCTAAATAAAATAGACTCCAAAATTAATTTAAAGAAAACCCATAATTATCCCAAGACTAGAAATATCAAAATCCATAATTTGCCATCAATAATTGAACAAAATTGAGAGAAGAAAACAAATAAATAAGCTAACAATGGTAGCAATAAATAAAGTAGCCATGACCAAAAGAAATAACTCTTCCATAAATAATTAAGCAAAATTGCATCCTCCAAAACAATAAAGCCAAATTCAGGCACCCCCAATAAATATAATTTTAGTAGAATTTCCTTTTTTTTTTCTTTTTTTTTTCTTGTGGGAAAAGTGGCATGATTTTGAAAATTTGGAATTGATGGAGAGAAATAAATTTGAAAAGAAAGGGAGGGGGGAAAGGAGAATATGAAAGTAAATACAATAAATAATAAAATTAAAATGTTGGAATTATAACCGCCGAGGTGTCGGCCGGGCAGGTGGGGCCCAGAACGATTGGTGGTTTAACTTTGAGGGTCCCGCCACCGTGAATACAGCAGCTGAACCAGGAACCGCCGGTGGCCCTTCCCCTCACCACCGACAATTCCTCAATATTTTCTACCCACGTTATTTTACTGTCTTGCCCCTTCAAAAAAGTAAAATAATAATAATAATAAAACTAATTAATTGTAGTGTATCCGGATCCGGATCCATCCAATCTTTTGACTTGTATTTTACTCTCTGTTGACGTATGAAGAATCGGGTCGGATTTCGGATTCAACCGTCTTTTGTACATATATAACTGTCCCAAAGTTTTTTTTTTTAATAAAATTATTATTTATTTTTCAAGACTGTTTCGTATGGTATCTCTCTCTTTAAAAAAATAATAAATGCTTTATCGCACGCTATGTTTTTAAAATGGTTTTTAAAAGTACTCTATTACGATTTATTTTTCCAACACTAGATTACATTTTTAATGTTTTATAATTAACCAATATATTGGTTTAGCTTGGCTTTCATTTTCTATTTTCGGTGCGATGAAAATGTGGCAATGGAAACTTTTGACCTTACGAAAATGAGTAGTGTTTATTATAAGTTTATGTGTAAAAAGATTGCCTACGGTTTCTAATTTGACTATAACTTAACTATTTATATTTACCATTCTTCATATTAATGTTATTGTTTATCTTTACCGTTCTTTATAATATAAAATCAACTAAGGAAGCTATTAAAAACACTAATTAAATTTGTAATAAATTTGTAACTTTGATAAAGTGTTTATAGAAAAATAATTTTTTATTTAATAATCATTTTTAAGTCATCCTAAATACATAATAAAATGATAGCGAGTTAGGTGTTTGAGTTTTTTAAATGCATCAATTATATTGTTACTAATGAGGAAAAAAGAGCTATAACTATATAAGTAAAGTGAATGTTTGTGAAAGTTAGAGACTAAAATATATATATAATGTTAAATAATAAGCCTCTTACTATCTATTATCTAACTTTAAATCCAAGCTCTAACTCATATACTTTTTACTTTTATTTTTTATTTAAAAATTATCATATTGGGATTTTTTTTTGGTTACTTATATACTCAACATCTTTGACCTTTTAATTGATACAAAACTATGTTGGCATTTTAAAATAAAATAAATATAAATTTTGAGATATTAAAAAAGAAAAATAATAATAAAGAAATAAAGGAAATAATAAATATAATTTGAGAGGTGGAAAATAATTGGAATATATTATACTAAAGCGATCAGATACAATAATAGTAGTTGGAATTATTGTTCTCTGTCTGATCTTTTTTTAGTTCATAGTTGGAATTATTTTTATTTGAATATTGTAATTTTAAGTATTGTAGTTGCAAGTTACAACGACGTGATTTTGTAATAAAATAGAAACGGAAGCGTTTTGGTAACGCAAGGGTTGAAGGCTATTTTTGCAAAAGTTGGTTTTGGTATTTAATATAATTATATAATTAACAAATAAATGCGTGACAAATTCCTTAATTGGAGGTGATGATGATCATATCATATGATGTACGCATCCGATTGCCGTAATCAATACCGCTCATGCCCATCTTGCCTCTTTCTTTTTACTTGTGGGCCCAGTTCTTTTTTTTTCTAATTTAATTTAATTTCCCCTTTTCCCTCCCTCAATGTGCATTTAAATTGAATATATAAAAGCGACAAATAAATATCATTATCTATCACGTGAAATAATGCAAATGTAAATCATATTCAATTATTATTATTCTTTTCTCATATTATTAAATTATATTTATTTTGAAATCTTAACCGCCAGTCTATGCAGTGTTAGAAGAGATTTACGTTAGTATATATTTTATATTTTTCATCCCATGTTTAATAATTAAAATATGTCTAAACATCTAAAAAATTCAGGAAAAAGTAATATATATATATATATATATATATATTAGAGATTTACGTTAATATATATTTTCACCCATGTTTAATAATTAAAATATGTTTAAACATCTAAAAAATTCAGGAAAAAGTAAAAAAAAAAAAATGTTTTAGTTCAAAATATAGAAATAAGAATTTGAATTCACGACCTTTTAGTTGTAGATTGATATCTTAACTTGTTGAGTTATCATCAAGTTGACATAACATTTTTTTAATTCAACAAATGTAAGGTAAAATTGGAATATTCAATATATTTGACGAAAAGATGATGAATTCGAATCCTCACCCCTACAAATTACAAATTATCCGCTCTGATACCATCTTAAGAATGAACAAACCACCACTCAACTCAAAAGCTTAAGCTTATGGGTTGGGTAAATTTAATTCATTTATTGGATATCTAATACTCCTCTCACTTGTGGGCTTGGAAAACAACATGAAGACCCAACAAGTGGAAATCAATATAAAATAGGGAGGAAATATGGGTTAATATATTGTGCAAGAACTGATTGATTAAGAGAAGCCGAGGAATTGCTCATCGGAGCAGTTGGATTGATATATTCATCGTCCGCCATTAGAGGGCAAGAAACGAAGAACACAAAAAAATGGGTAACGGGTGGCGAAATGAATAACTGCCAGGTTAGGTGAAGGAAGTGCACTCTCCCAAAAGCTCGTAATAGGTTAGGTTAGCTTTGATACCATTAAAAATGAATAAACTACCACTCAACCCAAAAGCTTAAKCTGATAGGTTGGGTAAATTTAATTCATTTATATGGATTCTAACGGTATTGAGAAGAACATCAATGCAATTTATAGCCAAAGTGAACATAGTTCAGCGATAATTGAAATTGCAATTTAGGGTCAAAGTGAGCATAACTTAACATTAATTGACATATATCTCCAACCGACCAAGAGGTTGTGAGTTCGATCTCTACCGTAGTGTTATACTAAAAAAACGTCAATCCAATTTATATGTTATAAAAATACATACTGAATAAGCTAAGAGTAAAATAGCTAAAATCAAGAAATCTCTTTGCCTCAGAGGAACAAGTAAATATATAATAATTCTAATATATATATATATATATATATAATATTTTATCCAAAAAATGTAAATATATAATATATTTTACTTTATAAGCAGAATGTATTTATTTTTTTTGAAGAATTATCCGTACCAATTAGACCCCAAATAGTCCGCCAAAATTTAAGAGACATCGGGAGAAAACGGAAGGGTCTGAAATGGTAATATGCGAAGATTTGAAAGGGTGAAAGCGACATTTCGACGAAAATAACCAACAAAGCAGTCAAAGTTATGGAGGTAGGTAAGTTCTAACATAGAAACACTGATACTGATACCATTTTCATCATTTAACATCCCGGAAATTGTCGACTCCAGATAATACCCCTCGCAAAAATCACGCCTCTGTTCTATTGTTTGTTATTTGAAACCCCAAAAAAGAAAATAATAATAATAATTCGTTTTTTAACTCACGTGAGATTCACGTGCCAATGCATTGGCCATGACCGAACCCAATTAAACCAACAACCGGAGGCATACTTCGTCAGGTTTAAAGTGTGAGAAAGCGAGTGGAGGGAGAGAGAGAGAGAGAGAGAGAGAGAGAGAGAGAGAGAAGCTCACTTTTTCTCTCTCCAATTTCGCTCCTAAAAAGCAAATTTCAACGGCAAAGGGGGAACTGACTCGGCTCCGCCTATAATGGAGGAGGAGACGACGGCGACGACGACACAATGCCGCCGCCAAGTCGGAGCTCCGAAACCGCTGAGGTTTTCAGGCAAATGCCGCCTCCTGATCTTCTTCTCCTTTTCCGTTACATGGACCTTGGCCGGAGCTTTCGATTACGCCGACGCTCTCTCCAAGAGCCTCCTCTACTTCGAGTCTCAGCGATCGGGGAGACTGCCGTACAACCAGCGCGTCACCTGGCGAGACCATTCCGGCCTCACCGACGGCCTGGAGCAAGGAGTGAGTTATATCTTCGAAATCTGTTTACGCCTTCGGCTGCTCTGTTTTCATTTATTAACCTAACCGATTGGGGCTTTTTGGTGTGTTTAGGTGGATTTGGTCGGAGGATATTACGACGCCGGCGATCACGTGAAGTTCGGCCTCCCAATGGCCTTCACCGTAACGATGCTATCGTGGAGTGTGATCGAGTACCGCCGAGAAATTGAAGCAGCCGGCGAATTGGAGCACGCTCTCGAAGCCATTAAATGGGGGACCGATTACTTCATCAAAGCCCACACTAGCCCTAATGTGCTGTGGGCAGAGGTGAATCTCATTACCAATTATACATCATAATCGTCAACATAATCATTTCATTATCGCTCATTAATCAGAATTAGAATCACATTGGTGAAAATGTACACAGGTGGGAGACGGAGACACGGACCACTACTGCTGGCAGAGGCCGGAGGACATGACGACGTCGCGGCAAGCGTACAAAATCGACGAGAGCAGCCCGGGGTCAGATCTCGCGGGAGAGACGGCGGCAGCGATGGCGGCGGCCTCGATTGTGTTCAGGAAAACGAACCGGCATTACTCGCACCTGCTCCTCCACCACGCGCAGCAGGTAAGAGAGAGAGATTTGGTTAGAGAATGAATTAAGCAGTTGAGTTTTGGTTAGAGATTAAGAAACTGATTATTGTGATGGTGAATTAGTTGTTCGAGTTCGGGGAGAAGTTCAGAGGGAAATATGACGGAAGCGTGGGGATAGTGAAGAACTACTACGCGTCGGTGAGTGGGTATAAGGACGAGCTGCTGTGGGGTGCGCTGTGGCTGTATGAGGCCACCGACAATGAGCAGTATTTGGAGTACGTTGTTAAGAAGGCTCACTGCTTCGGTGGCATTGGCTGGGCCATTTCCGAGTTCAGCTGGGACGTCAAGTACGCTGGCGTCCAACTCATCGCTTCCAAGGTAAAAAAAAAACTTCCAAACCCAACCCATTTCTTTAATGCTTTCCCAGATTACTTACATAAACTTACACATGGATAATCTTATTGGGATACGCCACATTTCGGAGTTTGTACAAAGTTGTTTCTACTCATTATTTAGATCCCACCACAACTTTTAGCCCTTTAGAATATGATGATGCATCAATTAGGTAAATTTTAAATTCTTTTGAGTATGTTTATGAATTTTTAGATTGTATCTCTTTTGTATCCAATAATTCTCCATAGTAAATAAAACATCTATTACTACTTCAAATATGAATGGTTTGATATTCCATCCTAAAAGAAAAAAGAAATGAGTATGTATAAAATCATGTGAATTTGGGTTTGATAGGGAGGGATTAGAGATTCGAGGTGTTATAATTTAGTGGGGGGAGTGGGATCTTTTTTTGAGGATTTTGTTTGTGATCGAGTCTTGAGATGGAATGATAAATGGCAGAAGCGAAGGGAAAGGGAAAGGGAAGATTTGTGTGTGTGGCTTTTTTCACGTTAGAGATGGAGTGGCCCCTAATTAAAGGACCCATTGGACAGCAGGGGTAAAAGTTTTAGACTACGGGTCATGTTGGATGGAACACAAGGCCACGTGCTTCCGTTACCACACCAATTAATTCCCTCTCCCTATTCCAACCCCGCCACGTGTCCCTTTTAACATCCTTTACTCTTTATTCTTTAATTGCCCCTCTCTTCAATTTTCTCTATCTTTTAATCTTTCCCAATTTTATTTTCAGTTTAAATACTATTCTAAAGTCAACAAGTGAAATAAAATTTCTATTAATTTTTAAAAAATTTGTTTGATGAATTTTTGTTCCCTGATTTCTCATTTCAGTTCTTACTTTAACACGTTAATTATCATGTGTATAAGCTCATTTGAAAATTCTTAAAAAGAGAGTAAAGCAGTAATTTTTGTTGTTATTGTTCTGATTATTATTTTTCTCCGGTTGTAGGTTCTTATGGAAGGGAGGCATAAAAATGGGGATGAAGCTAAAATCCTGAAGCAGTACCAATCAAAAGCAGAGTACTACCTGTGCACAATCCTCAACAAGAACAACGGCAGCAACGTGGAGCGAACTCCGGCGGGGCTATTATTCGTCCGCCAATGGAACAACATGCAATACGTCTCCACGGCGTCGTTTCTTCTCACCGTCTACTCCGACTACCTCCGCCGGTCAAACCACCGCCTCAATTGCCCCGGCGGGACG